GACGGCTTCATGCAAACATCAATTAGTCTGCTCATGCAGCCGCGGAGCTGGAGACATGCACGTTATCCACAGAGAAGACGTTTCTCTGTACAACGCAAGAAAAATGAACCATATAAAGAAATGATATAGTTAAAAATGATATCCAACATACAGCGATGCACTGAATCGGTGTGGTTGGTTTCATTTATCATTATGTCTGAATATAATATACAGAATTAGTTGAACTGAAAGCTGTTTTATTTTAGGGTAAAACTGCTGGAATTATGTAAAATAAATTACAGCTGCACGGGTTTAAAGCAGAGTTAGAGGTTCACAGATTCAAGGTTTCAACCAACAGATAACGAGTGTGAACACATGGCTGAATGTGATTCTCTGTAAACAAGGAGGTCAGCGACCATAATTAAAAGCTTCCTCACTGGGGAACAGATGCTACTGATCACGCTCTCAGACTAAAGGCAGACATTCCTCTAATCACCCCGGAACTCATCTCAGCAGCAAGTCAGACTTCTCATTACTCAAAGAGACGTCGATACAAAGCAGGGATGAAGGACGGGGCCACTAAAGACAAACCCCCCAAAACAGGAAGTGAGAGCAGAGAAAGTGGCTGTGATCATGTGGCTATTCAGTTAAACTCAAAAAGATGCGTTCATCCTCGGCTGACAACAGGAGCGTCACATGAAGACAGAAGAGGAGGATTGTTTTCCAATCTAAAGGGATTTTTCACTGTAAATGTCATTTTCAGGACCTCTGAACTGTGTTTGGTTCATTAAGACTAGCTCATATGTCACCGTCCTCCCTGAGAGCTGCAAGCTGTGGACAAACTCTACTGGCCCCATGACCCCCCCCCCCCGACCTTCAATCGCGCTCCCATTTTAAAATGGCACTGGGCAGCTGTGGAGATCCCTGCGGGCCGTTTCTCAGCTGCTGTTGTAGTAAAGAGAGCGCATGAGATGGATGGAGAGTCCCATGGATCAGTGAAGCGACCGCTCTTTAACTTACAGGTATTATTTCCTGCTGCAGGAGGAGGAACACGTATTTCATATTACATGTTTTTGTGTTCTCAAATATAATCTTTAAGAGTTTATATCTAAACACGGGAAAACAAAGCTATATAACTATACGATGTACGTGAATACAAGCACGGCTTTTAAGTACAGCAGCTGTAAAAACTATTCGTCCCCCCGTGGAAGATTCATTGTTTTACAAAACTGAATCAAAAGGGGATTTAATGTGGATGTCTGGACATTAATGGAAAGAAAAAGAACTTTTAAGGAGAAAGTGTAAAATAAAAAAAGTCACATTAACTCTACTTTGATTCAACATTGTAAGAGAATTAAATACTAAAACTACGGGTATGTACAGTCTTTATAATAATACAAATAATTATAATAATAAAGACAATACAACTACTACTACTACTAATAATAATAATAACAATGCCTTTATTAGTAAAGAAGGTATGACTTACTTTAACAACCAACATTAGTAAATAACTTTTCTAACACAAAACAAAAATAAAGTGGCTAAAAAGGGTCTTAATCTGTCGCACTGAGATTAAAGCTGCGCGTATATATTTTATATTTATATAAGTTCGGAGGCTTCGTAGTCAAATACGCTCCTTCTTTCCTTTCACAATAAAAGCCCTAGAAATATCATATTTGGTGAGTATTTAGCATTTTCGGGTCATTTATTCATCGCTCCAAAAGATAACGTAAACAAAACCGTTTCATCGAAGAACACCAGAAACAAAATCTGACATCAACGCGACAGCCACAGATCTGCAGTACGAGTCACTGACTCAACAGTCAATATAGACAGTAACGTCCCCTCCCCGGAGAGACGGACGGATGTGATTAATACTAGTCTGCTGAGCGTTAACTTATTCCCTTCCTCTCACACCACTCAATATCAATTAGGGAGCTCTCTGCTGCTGTCGGTGTTTAAGAGGCGATCCTCCGGAGAGCTGATGTGTAATGACTCCTCCTGCTTTCAGTGGTTGCAACAGCGTTTACCTTTTTAATACGTCCATCCCCAACATGTGCAGGGGAAGTTATACAGTATTTTGTATGTATCCTGCTGTGGTCATAAGAATCAGAAATCTCTTTTAAATCACTTCTTCAAACACATTTTTACACACTGGCTTTCATGTGATTTCGTTGCTTTTCTGTTTTATTTGTTGATTTTACTAAATTATTTTTAATTTATTATTTTCTTTTCTTTTGTATTTTTTTGTATTTCTTAGTTTATTTTTATCGTATCGACGACTCACTGAGCTTTCTGTTATTGTTATTATTTGCTTTTGTTTCTGTCAGAGCACTTTAAAAATTGTTTTTAAAGGTGCTATATAAATAAAGTTATTATTATTATTATATATGTGGTTTATTTTTCAGTATGCAGATTTTTGTGCAGTCTCTAATTTATTCAAAATATACTGTAAATGGCTGTAAATGTTTAAAAGTGCAATAATAAACAACGCCACCAATGTCAGAGATCTCATCTTAAAGCAGTGCTACACGGTTAAATGTTTAAATTCACAAATGTCACATGCTTAAAAAATTTATTTAAGAAATGCTTCATCAAAAAGGTTAATGTGCTTCGGTGAGTAACGATGTGTGTTACTACATTCATCCGTTGTTACTCGGTGCTGAAAAGAGACAAAGGTTAACAAGCTCTTCAAGAGGAAGTGAATGATGGACAAATGATCGAGTCCTTCAGTGTATCTGGTCCACATGTATATATGAGGGAGAATATGTGAAGAGGGGCTTGTTCTATGTATATTAATAGGTTCATTTAATACATTTTTTCAATGTATTTTTAAGGCATTTTTACGCCGTTAAAGAAACAGCGAAAAAAACAATTTAAAAAAGTAGTGACAACATTTGAAAGTGATGCAGCCTCACGTTTGTTTTAAAGGAATCGATATCAAATGATAAGCTTGTGAGTATCGACGGATCAATACCACGGTATCGAGGTGAACCCTCCCGAAAGTTCAGGGTCCGGCGTCTTAACCCCTAAAAACAAAACCACGTCGTTAAGTTTAGACAACAAAACCACGTAGTTAGGTTTAGAACAACATCATGGTTGGGCTTAAAATAACTACGTACGTTATAGGTTTAGGCAACAAAACCACAACAAGAAAACCCTGGTGTGCAGGTCCATGAGTGTTATTTTTGTTATATTTAATGCCATGTCAGTAGTATTTATTACTTGGTCTGACCGTTGTATTATCATGTGGATTAGTGTATTAGTCCTGTGTCCACCAAGAAAAATGATCCTAATTGACTTCCATTGGAATTATTTTTGTCCTGAGCGACACAAAAGAAAGGTGGGTTGAAGGTTTCACACCGACCCGGGCTCATGGCTACTCCATCCACAATCCCAGCATGTTAGAGGCAGCGCAGCCACACACCATCACTCATGTTTGGTGTTAAAAAACAGGGCTCGCTGGACTAGAAGGTGACAACAGCTGAGTGGCAACGATGGTGACAAGGCCAGAGCCGAGGGGGCGGGGGGGCAGGGACCCGACACACCGGCACACCGGCCAGCTGCCAACCCCGACATCCAAACACGACACGCCGCCTCGCAGGGCAGCTCAGGGTATACAGGAAGTGGAGAGTAAAGGCCAGGAGGGTTGGAGGGGTCTCATGTCTGTAGAGGATTTCAAAATAAAACAGCTCCACAGACCCAGAAACACAAAAATGTAGTTTACAGTTTTCTTAATTTGGAGAACAGCGGCTGTGATCAGCTTGAATTCACGAGTCATTTAGTGGAAAGACAAACTCAAAAGCCTGCAGCAGATGAATTGAGGTTTTTTACGTTATTTCAAGCTGCAATAAAATACCTGCAAAACACACCAAACGTTTGATCTGAAAGGCATCGGCGTGTGAACGGGGGAGTACTGAGGGAGGCTGGAGCCATTTTGCTGCAGTGCGTTACAGCGTTTATGAGAGCAGAACATCACTTTACATCACAGGAAACACCTTGTAGCTGTCAAAACACAACATGTCTGAAAAGAGACGTCGTCTAACAGAGTAATATCTTCTCTTGTCCTCGAGAAGCAGCTCAAAGTGTCTTTACACAACAGGATCTCAGCACGGAGTCAGAGGGTAATTCTGATTATTCATGTTGGCTATTTGGGTGGTTTTCCTTCATTTCTTTGGCTGTTGGATTATCGATCAGTGTTGTAAGTGAACTCTGCAGCAGCTCACAGGAAGGTGAAGACCGAGGAAGAGGAGTGAAGGAGCAGCTCAGTAACCTCTGTGCTGTGGACAGTGTGTGTGGATGCTGCTGTGTTTGTGTGCCGTTTAAACGTGCTAGCTAGCGGCGGCGGCATGATTCAGTGGCGTTGTGATTTTAACAGCGGCGCTCCGGCACGGGCGGTTTATTTTTTTGCCCTGTGAGTGACGGTCCAATCAAGCTTGGGACGGGCTGTCAGGCCATGCCAGGCCCGAGGAATGAGAGGAAATGAGAATCAAAGACAGAGAGCAGGACCGAAACCATGATGGACAGACCTGAGCATGGCAGCCACAAGGAGGGAGGAAGACGAGGAGGGAGGAAGGTAGACGAGAAGGGAGGGAGGGAGGGAGGAAGATGAGGAGGAAGACGAGAAGGGAGGGAGAGAGGGAGGAAGACGAGGAGGGAGGGGGGAAGACGAGGAGGGAGGAGGGAGGGAGGAAGACGAGGAGGAGAAAATGGAAATATATACATCGGGAGAAAAGGAGGAGGCAGAAAGAAACCAAAGGGACATCGTGAAAGGGAAAGAGGAAGGAAGGAAGGAAGGACAGCTAAATCATCGGACACTTCCTACAATAATAACCACATCATCTGCAATATTACATCTCAATTTCATGTTCATTATTATTATTATTATACTACGTGCAATATAACTTTTTACTACTTTTCAATATCACTCAATATTCATTTCCTATTTTAGTCTCTATTGAGCTCTAGTGTTCATATCATTTCTTATACACTTTATATTTGTATAAGGTCAACCTTACCGATCCAGCGCATGAGTGAGGTGAGAATCTGGAGGTATTTGGTCTTCTGGGCGTTGAAGAAGGTGAAAGGACCCAAAAGAAGCGTGAAGACGCACTGCAGGAGGAGACAGAGAGGAAGAGTTCATCACTGATGTATGAGACACACTATCACAGAGTGACTCACGTCCATGTGAAGCTGAGGAAGCTTCCTTCACCCTCCCATAATAAACAGAGGCAGTAACGGCTAAACGTCGCCCATGACGCCGTAAATGTCAGTTAGATTTACAGGACACAGAATATTAAGAACATTGTACAATCCTCCCTTTGAGATGCTTCTCATGTTTCATCAAACGTTTCTGAAACGGTAAAGAAACGTTTTTATTACTGTGGTTGTGTGTTGGCGTGTTACATGAGCTGAAACAGTTGATTAATCAGTGAGAGAATAACTTTAATAATCAATTAATCCTGTAAGTTGTGTTGTTTCAGCTTCTTTAATGTGAGAATCTGCTCTCTCTCTGTTTTATATTAATATATATTTATTGTTTCTGTTTTTACCATGTAAAGTGTCTTTGAGTACCTTTTAAAGTGTTATATAAAATGTTTTATTATTATTATTATAAACTGAGTTCAATAAGTAGAACTCAATCAATAAGTTGGAAAGAAGGCACACTCGGCTTCACCACTGTGGTATTATCACACTTTTTAATAGTCTTTACTTCACCCGGCGTGTCATTTTGAAACGCCAGCGGAGACGCGTCTGCTTTTAAAAAAATCCCATCAGCCCTCTGAGAGATGAAGGATAGGAGATAAACAGGTCAATCCACTGCTGAGTCCGCTCTGATTGCCTCTCAGATACTTTTCTTTATCAAGAGCTGCAATCAGAGCTCCAGCTCCTCCTGCTCCTCCTCCTCCTGCTCCTCCTGCTCCTCCTCCTCCTC